TAAGAAAAAGTAAAAGTATAAATACACATTTTTGTATTTGGGAAAGAGTTTTGGATGCAAGAAAACCTGAATGATCTGAATATCATATAGAAATAAGGCTTTCATATATGAAAAAAGAGTCATGGCATCTTCTTAACCAGAGCTTGGTGCTCTATCTAGATACAAAGGAATGGGAGAATGGTCTATCATGAAAAGAGAATGATCCAGGCATATTGGTACACTTATAATGCTGGCAATGGGAGGCTGACACAGAAGGATTATGAGATGGAGGCCAGCTTATAGTACACAGAGGGATCTTTTCTCAAAAAAATGACAGAGACAGGGACAGACAGAGACAGACAAAAACAGAGAGACAGCAAGAGAGAGAGAGAGAGGTGGGCAGGGAGAGAGAGGGAGAGGGAATGAATCTGCTAAGCCTTGGATGATAATGTGAGCCAGAAAAACAGAGTGGAATCTGGAAGATTCTGAAATGCAAAAATAAATCACATCCTCCAATATCATCTCACATACAAAAATTGCACCAAGAAAGCTATAGTGAAGGAGAAGCATAAAAAAAGAAGGAAATGAAGTAGTTTAACATAACACTGCCAATGAATGCAAAGGAAAACCAAAATACACCACATCTTAAAAAATAATAATAGAACTGAGTAGAAGAATTGGTACTACAGAGAAAAAATTTTCACGAGGAATAAAGAGAGGAAATTATTTTAAAGAAAGATTAGAGATTCATTAGATGATGTGGTCTCATGTATATGTACTTGAAGCACAAGAATATGAGGACAGATAAATGGAGTTAAGTACTTGACACAAGACAAACTATCCAAATCTGATAAAGAACAAAATGCAAGCAAGTCAAATAAACATTAAGCATCTTAAACAGAAAAAAAAACAACAACAGTAATTCCTAGTCATATCAGACAATAAAGGGAATAACCAAAAGCAACTAAAGGAGAAAGGGGGCTTTCTAAGCAATTTCACCAAAAAAACAAAAAAGTGATGGGAAATTGGAAATAATAGAAGAATAGAATAAGACTACAAAAATATTAAAAATAATAGAATATTAAAATAACAAGAATAAGAATGACAGGGCTGGGGATTTAGCTCAGCGGCAAAGCGCCTGCCTGGCAAGTGCAAGGTCATGAGTTCGGTTCCTGGTACCGGAGAAAAACAAAAAGACAAACAAAAAAAAAATAAGAATGACATCATTATTATGAACAATAATAGGATAATAACATATCTTTTCATCAGCAATAATAAAAGCCATTCTACAATGAAATGGTATTATTCAATGTTATAGCAATAAGTATGTTAAACGACTGCTGTATTACCATACAGCGAAATACCACTTTGAACTATACAGGTGGTAATGCCAGAGGTGTCAGGCACATTTCTGTCCACAACCAAAGACTAAAACAAACAAACCAAAAAAGCAATAGTTATATCACTAACTGAGGAGATTTACCAGAGCGTGCGGGGGCGGGGGCAGAGACACTGGAGCACAGAGACACATACCATGGCCTGATGAAAAGGGAGTTATACTATGTATCCATAAAAACTAACCCTGAACCAAAAAGGACTTTGTGCCATGTGAAGGGTAATAAAGAGACCCAGCAGCCTCCACTCATGTCACAGTCACCTGAAACATTCATCCCTACAAAAGCCTATACAGCCCTCATAGACCCAAGCCCTGGTAAGAGTGATCCCAGGTTACCAGACCATTGAACTGCCTTGGAGAAAAGCCCAGCCCACCTCTCATAAGATTGGTTTGCTACATTCCTTGTACTGATATGGTGAGTCTATTTTCATTTTTCTATTTTATTTTCAATTTCCATTTTAGTTTCATTGGTCCATTGGTTGTTCAGGAGCATATAGTAAAATTTCCATGTATTTTAGAATTTTCTGAGGTTCTACTTGAAACTGATATTCAGTTCCATACCACTGTGGTCAGAAAAGATACTGTGATTTCAGTGCTCTTAAATTTGTCACCTTTCTTGTGGCCTAACATAGCACTTTTCCTAAAATAGGTTTTGTCTGTGCTTGAGAAGAATATGTATTGTGCTACTACTGGATGCAGTGTTTTGCGTATGTCTGTTAGGTCTATTTGGTTGTAAGTGCAGTTCAACTCCTACGATTGCTTATTGATTTTCAGTCATGATAATCTGTTACTGAAAGTGATGGATAGAAATTCCTTACTATTACCATACAGCACTCTCTTTTCTTGCATATCTATTAATATTTGCTTCAAAAATTTCAGTGTTCTGATGTTGAATACACATTGAATTACAATTGTTGGATCTCGAGTGTCCCTCTTCATCACTACATCATGGGATGTCTTTCCCCTCCAATCACTCTCAGTGTCTGTGCACCCTTAGGGCTGAAGTGAGCCTCTTGTATGCAGCACAGACAGGCCTTGCTCACAGTGTGGAGCATGACCACACAAGGTGCCAGAACGACTCCAGATAAAGGGAGTAGACTAGTTTTCTGAGGTGGCGGTTTAATTACTCACAAGGTAGATACGCTTGGAGTGCTGCAGAGCTGGAATCCACAGCTTGGAGCAACAAGAAACTCTAGGTCCCACAGCAGCATTAATCTTTTGCTGTATTAGTTCCAGAGCTTGAGAGGTAGACAATATGCGCACAGTGCCAGCATCAAAAAACTCAAGAAAATTTCTATTTTTAAGTTTTTGAAGAAGTGGTTATGTTGGAGACCACTGCAAAGTGGCTCCAAGCAGGATTTACTATTAACCAATTGGCTTTCCCTGTTTACTTGTGACTTGTCTGAAGGCCTCAGCTGAGGATGTCTGGCTCCAATCCCAATTAACTTAAAGGAGACTGTAGCTGCAGGCATCTCACTCCTGCTGTGGAGGCCTTCCTGAAGATAACATACTTCTCCTAAATTAACATGATGTCTTACTTGAAAAAGTCCTGCTCAGATTCCTGCCTTTTCTGGAGTATCCTCTTCCTTTGTTTGTAAACCAAACAAGTATGGGCCGCCCAGAGCAGTCTTTGGCTAACTCAGAGAACACTGAAGCTGTAAGGGAGTTAGTCCCTCCTGGTATCCTAAAATCATTACCATTGTCTGCATTTTTAAGCCTTCACCATCCACTCACTTGGGAGATTGTGGGCCTGACCATCCTGCAATAACTTAGGGTTATTTAACCCAGTTTTCAATATGCTTACAGACCTGGAGTATGCAGTTTGGGTGTGGAAAGAGGAGTCATGGCACCAGGGCCTGAGGGTTGTACAGGGCAGGAGGGTGGCAGCTCCAGAGCCACAGTACTTCAACAGTGTACTTAAACTATGGCTGTTTGGGGTGTGGGATGGGTGCACTGACACCTCCACTCCTGCGGAATAGAGGAAAAACATTTGTGGGTGACATCGTGACAAAAGATCCTACAGTCTTCTACAGAGCAGCTCAATGCAGGTCACAGCAGTACCTTCTGAGTGGTTGGTACTGAAAATTTCTTCCCTTCTTCATTCATAGCCATCTTCAGACATCTCAGGTATTCTACGCAGCGCTATCTGTGTAACTATTGTTCTTTTTTTGCTTCACTGTGTTATTTCAGATTCTTAAATGTTCCCTTGAGCTGTCCCAACGCTATTTTTTTCATTCCTATATAGCTGATGATTTGGTTTGTTATGAGTGAAGGTATGAAGGCTAGAATCTCATTAAAAGTCAGCACAGTGAAGGAAACAATTAAGATAGTGAAAATCCAACTAGCAAACATTTAGACTATCTTCTAAAGGGTTATTTTCCAATGGCATAAGGAACTCATGCAACTCAACAGCAGAGACAACAAGAGTAACTACAATTATAATAACCTGACTGAAAAATAAAAGGATGAATAGATATTTCTCCAGAAAAGAGTTGTAAATTACCTACAGGTATTTTAAAAACTGTTCAACATCACTAATCACTAATATTGAAGAAACATCATAGTGAGATCTGACCTCACAGCACTGGAATGATTATTACCAAAAGATGAACGTTAGCAAGTATTAGTGAGCCTTTTGTACCGTTGGTAGAATATGCAAATTGGTGTAGATTCTATGAAAAATAGTATGAAGGTTCTTCACAAAGAAAACTAGAACTATTTTATGATTCAGAATCCTAACTCTAGGCACACATTCAAAAAAAAATGGGATTATTAGCTCAAAAATATATATATAATATAATATATACATACTGTATACCCATGTACATTCAAGACCATATTTAATAGCCAAGATTTGAAAACAATCTGAATGTCCACAAACAGGATACTGAATAAAAATGTGATATTGATGATACAGAAAGATACATGCACAAGAAAATATTACCTCACTAGAAAAAGAAATCATGCTATTTCATGAAAACATGGATGGATGAACCTGGAAAACATTGTGTAAAGAAAATGAGCCAGATTTAGAGAGATAAATATTACATGATGACACATATAGATGGAATGTGAATTGCTCAAATTCATGCAAGTGGAGAGAATGGTGGCCGTCAAAGTATGGGACAAAGGAACAAAGGGAATGTGTTGGTCAAGAAGCACAGAATGCCAGCTGTGCAAAATGACCAGGTTAGGAGATACAATGTATAGCGATGTAACTAGAATAAATAATACTGCATTGCCTACTTGAAATCTGCTAAGAAAATAGGTCTTAAGATATGTTAAAAAGAGGGGCTGAGGATTTAGCTCAGTGGCACAATGCCTGCCTGGCAAGCGCAACATTGTGAGTTCAATTCCCGGTACCGAAAAAAAAAAAAGATATTTTAAAAAGAAAAAAGAAAATGGTAACTTTGTGAAGTGGTATTTTAAATTAGATTGATTACAGTGAATATCTCACAATGCATCACATAGCAAAACATCAAGTCATATACCTAAAGACATATTATTTCTACCTGTCAATTATGTGAATAAATATGGAAATATTAATACAAATATTATATGAAAGTGAATATATATTTAATCTTTCTCTGATAATGTTACTAGATTTTATGTAATAAGAAATTACCATTTCCAAAATAGCTCTCACAACGTGCATCAAGATCATGGCAGTCTCCATCATAACATATAAATGCATTATTTTTGCACTGATGTCCATTTTTTACAAATATGTCAGGCACACAGTGTTCTGAACTTCCATTACAGTGCTCAGGCATATCACATTCAGGATGCTTCATGGGTCTGCAGAGAGTGCCTGCTTGTGAAAACTAACAAATTAAAATATAAAGAGTATATCATTATATATAATGTTTATACTTGTCAATATTTATTTCAAAATTATGACAATTACTTATACTTTTGATTCACAAATACCTGTCAATATTTTTTATAAATCATTATACCAATCATTAAAAACTAAACTGTTATCAATTAAAATGGGAGATAAAACATATATATAAGAAAACAGGGGAGAAAAATCTGATAGCCAAAGTTTTATTTATATCTCTAGGACAAGAGAGGAAAATTATTCCTTTTGAGTGAAAATGTTTATTTAAGTCAATTTCCAACTAAAATATATTTATATAAACTGCAATTTGCATATTGTTTTCGTTTGGTTTGGTGTTTTTGTTTTTTGCAGTACTGAGGATTAAACCCAAGGCTTTCTCATTGAACTATATCCTCACAGCTTTTGTAAGTTTTGAGACATATTCTATTGTTTTCCTAGATATTTCATTTTTGATTAGAAGTCACTAGTAGTTATTACCCTTACTTTCTTCTACTTGAAGGAATTTATTTTTCAGTCAGTAAATTCCCCAGGCTAACCTTGCACTTGTGAACCACTGGCCTCAGAGCGCCAAAGTCCTCGGTTTACAGGTATGTGCCACCAGACCCAACTTCAAATTATTACCATCTATAAGTACTTACAAACATAAGTATGGAATACTTAAAGCTTGCATGACAAATGTGAAACATAATAGAATGAATGGAGGAAAAAAACGTGAATAAAGAGCCAATTTAACTCTGGAAGTATTTGAAAGAGCTCTAATATAATTTTTTTCCTGACTTATGTTATAGTTCATTAATCTTTTATTTATTCTTTTATTCATATAACAATTTTAAATGAGCAACTAGATTATAATTTATCATTTATTATTTCAAGTTGATATAGAGTTTAGAGAGGTTAGGATGCAATATAAGACAAGATTATTTAAAAACTATGAAACTGTCACTCAAGGGCAGTCAGTAACACAAGCTCTACAGTTGGTATTTCAACAGAGATACTCTCACATAGAGGATTTGTTACAAATACAGTATGTTAGACAAAATGAAAAGCAAAACAAAATAGCAGTGAATATTTTCACCAGATAAACTAAAATATGGTTGTTCTGCCACATGATCTCTGAATAACAAGTTTAGTTTAAGCTTTCTAGTACATGCACTATTTGGAAAATATTACCCTACTGAGTTTTACTTTTCACGCTTATATGGAAAATTGCTGTGTCTTGCAACTGCCTGGGTATAGCTACTCATTGTTAACAGTAACACCATTTTAACTTATAAAAATATAATCACTGGAGAGAATGAATATTGGACAGAAATCCTGAAAAGAAAGGATAACTGTCCTTTTCAACGGGGATTTTCTGTATTGAAGAGCTCTACAATCAAGGCTTAAACTCTCCACCAAGCATTAAAAGTAACAACATTAAATTGAAACAGTGGCATTAGACAAAGGCGTCAACATCCAAGTTCACAAGATCAGAACTCTAACTTAGAATTTATTATCGTTTTCTTTATTTAAAACATCATTTACTCTGATTTAAACCTGCACTTCTAAGGGTTCTCATGTTTCCTATGCAGGATTCAATAGATATTTTTGATATTAATAAATTTAAATCTTACTTTGCACTGACTGCAGCATGGTCCCTTATCACACTCTGACTGCTCTTTCAGCTGACACGTTGCATGATCACAGCAGGCCTGAGGTCCACATTGCTGTGAACAAATGGAATGTACAAGTAAAGATTCATCATGACAGCAATAAAAACTTTCCAAGGAGCTCTATTTACTGGGCTTGGTCTTTGATTTTTGAAGCAGGATATACATGTTCTTGACATTTATACTCTTGAACTTCTCTAAACATTTAGTTTAGATCAGAACAGAATAGCTGAAATTGCACTTATCTTCCTGTCCACCTAGAAAGCTGGGAAACTATATGAAGGTTTCTTTTTTAAACTGGATAGCAGAAAAAGCAGAATTATAATTAATTAGAGAAATGAAGCAAAGGGACCAAGCTCTGAGTCAGCAGCTTTCCACCGGGAAGTATTTCTCCAAGCAGGCCACGACGATCTCCAAGACAGAAATGGGCATTAGAAGTTGCTGAGTGTACAGACTAGGTTGCTACTGTACAGTATGCTACCTAATAATGAGAGCTGGCATTTACACAGCAATCATCAGTGCATGCTTCTAAAATTACATCAGACACTAATGAAAAACCTAGGTAAACCTGAAGAAACACAAACAAAAACATTCAAACAAAAAAGAGAAAAGGAAGATATTCAGGGCTCCCATTAACTGTGGGACAATATCAAGCCACCTGAAGTGTATGAAATCTATGTTCAAAAATATACTACATACCCAGGAAATGTACTAATTACAAACAGGAAGACTAATAGAGCTACACCTGTATACTTCACAGTCAACCGCTAAAAACCAAAAGTAAAAGGAGTACATTGAAAATACCCTGAAAAAGAAACTCCTTCATGTAGAAGAAAGTAAGAAGAAGAAGAAAGAAACTAGTGACTTCTAATCAAAAATAAAATATCTAGGAAAACAACAGAATATCTGCTTTAAAGAGCCAAAAGAAAATAAATCTGCCTGTATATAATTTATAACCAGTAAATGTATTTTTCAAATATGAATACTTAATAAACACATTTTCAGAAAAATAAACATAAAACTATTTGTCACTTAATCTGCATTCCTGAAATTTCCAAATAAGATTCTTCATGCTAAAACAAAATGACTCAAAGTAGAAACTCAGGCTGGGTATGGTGGTGGGTGCTTGCAGTTTCAGTATGTGGGCTGAGGCTGGAGGGTTGGCACAAGTTCAAGGACAGCTTGGGCTACATAGTCATTTCAAGGCTAGTCTGAACTGCAAAGTGAGACTCTCTCTCCCCCAAAAAGTAGAAACTCAAATCTTCAAAAAGGAATGAAGCATTTTAATAAATTCTGGGTAAATAAATGAGAAGTTTCTTCCTTTTAGAAATTTCCTTAAAATAAAATTGACTAGGGGCTGGGGATTTAGCTCAGTGGGAAAAGCGCCTGCCTGGCAAGCGCAAGGTCATGAGTTTGGTTCCCGGTACTGGAGAAAAAAACCAAAAAAAAAAAAAAATTGACTATATAAAGTAAAAATAATGCTAACGTATTATGAGGTCAATAATATACAGAGAAATGTGTTGTAACAATACCATAATAACTGGAAAAGAGGGAATAATAAGTTAAAGATACATATAGTAAACCTTTAATAAACCACTAAAAATATAGGTATCAGCAATAAATAAACAGGTATTAATAACAATATAATTAAGTTAGAATATTGAAATCTACTCAAAAAGAGAACATGAGAGAAAAAACATGGATAAAATAGAAAAGATGAAATGATAGATAAGAAAGGAATCATATTTGCTACACTAATAAAAATAGACCCAATATAGAAATGCATGTAGAGATTATCAGTATGGATAAAAATGTAAGACTTAATCATATGCTATCTACAAGTAATCTTCATTTGCCATAAAGACAGCCAGCAGCTAAAAGTAGAAAAGATAAAACAAAAAACAAGGTGTACAGATCCTAATCATAAAAAGCTGAAGTAATTATATTAATTCCAGGCAGGGTAAAGAATCAGGGTAAATAATATTTATCAATGATAAAGTGGGGTTTTTTATAAAGAGTTAATTAAACATCAAGGAGACAGAAAATTCCTAATAATATATGAACTAAGGAATAGTGCTTCAAAATCCTGGTGTAAAGATATCAGATTGAAAAGAAAATTTTAAGACAGAGAATAGTAATGGCATATTTCAAATCTGCTGTTTCAGTAAATATAAGTGAAAAGAAAAACAGTGGCATGGGATTTTGAACAATACTAACAACCAACTTTTACTAATTGATACATACTTCTATTACTATCAGAAGTCACTTTATTTTCAGTATAGAGGACCTAGGTAACAAAAACCTACAAGGTAGACATAAAACAAGACTCATTATATTTGATTTTGGTTTTTCTGGTACTGGAAATCGAACTCAGGACCTTGTGCTTGCCAGGCAGGCGCTTGTGCCACTGAGCTATATCCCCAGCCCTCTATACTTGAAAGAACTGAAGTTATACAGAGTATGTATTCTGAATACTCGTAATATCAAGAAACAAGTAGATAACTGATAAATTCCCAAATATTTGGAAATTAAGTCAAACCTCTAACCCTCCCACGTATGAATAAGAAATCACAGAGGAAAAATGTTATAAGATGAATGATAAACCAAAACATAATACAATATACTTGGCGCAGCTAACCCATGCAGAAGGGACAAATAGAAAACACATACAAATTACACATATAAGAGAAATGTTGGACTGGTGATATAGCTCAGCAGCACAAGCACTTGCCTGGCAAATGCAAGGTCCTGAGTTCAATTCCCAGCACACACACAAAAAAAGGAGACAGAAATGTTAAAGACACAAAAAATCAACTGCTTAAACATCAAAGTTTAAAATATAGAAAAACAATAAAGCAAATGGAAATGGAAATACAAAGGTAAGATCAGAAAAGATGGGATGAAAATGAACAAATAACAGTATCAGTGCACATATAGGATGGCTGTTTAAAAAGCTAACTAACTTAAATTCTATGTACACTGAACAGGAACAACAGAAGTGCAAAGTACCAATAGAGGAATAAAAGGGGAATAATCATTAATGATCCTCCTGCAAATGGAAAAAAATGGAGTAGCAGCAAGAACTTTATGCTAACAAATATGGCAGAAAAAGGTGACTTTTTTTCACTGAGGTTTGAACCTATCTTTTTTAATGAACTACATTCCATTTTTTACTGTTTTTTAAATTTATTTTGAGACAGGGTCTTGAGAAGTCACCCAGTAGGGGCTTGAGTTTATGATCCTCTTGTCTCACCTGCAGGACAACATTTTTTTTTTCTAGTTTTAAAAATTTAAAAACTGACAAAACAACAATGAAGACAAAATCAAAACAGCACAAAAACAACAAAAATGATACATGACCTCAAAACAAAATAATAGAAATTTACAGTGGTTGCTACATTACATACTGTTATCTTCAACCAAGTTGCTCAGTCCACTAGACATAAGAGTGTGAGATTGATCAAACAATCAATGACAGTAACAAGTAAAAAAAAATAATAAAGAAATAAAACATTGCAAATGATGCAGAGTTTCACCATATGAGATGGTAGGAGTTCAACAGTGGTCCTTCTACTGCATATTGTTTTCAGATAAGTCATTCTGATTACCAAATTCAAGTGTGTAAAATCGGTCAAGAAAATTTTAAGCATTGACTGTTCCTCTCAATAAACCAGAGACATCAGCAATACACCTATTCCAGCTATCCTTATGTATACATATAAATTGTTTTCCATTTTAAAAAATCAAAATAACAAAAACAAATACATAAACAAAACAGCATAGAGAGCAATAAAAATGATACAGAATTTCAAAACATGGTGATAGGATATTAACAATGGTTGTTATACTATACAATATCATCTTCAAAATGGTTGCACATATAACCAGATATAGGCATGCAAGATTGATCAATTACACATTAACAGTTCCCTTCAATAAACCAACAGATATTAGTAGTACAATTATCCTAGCTATCCTGTGTATATATATACATATTTTTTCCTCCTCTTTCTTTTTCCTCTCCCCTCCTTCATCCCAGTTGCTCCTTCCTATTTGAGCAGTTTCTTTTCCCTTTCACAATATCTATTGTACCTTTCAGACTTTATTTACTCTTTTAGGTTTGTATAGTAGGAAGGAAATACAATGTTTGCACATGTGAATCTGATTAATTTCACTAATAAGTATGGTCTCTAGTTGCATCCATTTACCTATACAAGCCTGTAGCTTATCTTTTTTTTATAGCTGAGTAATACTCCATTGTATAAAAATACCACTTTTTTTTATCCTTTTCTCAGTGGATGGACATTTGGGTTGTTTCCAAGATTTCGCCATTACATATTGTGCTGCTATAAACATAGATGCACATATATCACAGTGGTATGACGCTTTCAGTTATGGAAAAATACCGAGGAGGGGAATAGCTGGGTTAAATGGGACCTCTAATCCTAGTTTACTGAGAAATCTCCAGACTGATTTCCACAGTGGTTGCACCAGTGTACACTCCCACCAACATTGGAGAAGAGTTCCTTTTTCCCCACAGCTCCCCCAGCATTTGTTATGGGTTGATTTCTTGATGACAGCCATTCTTTCTGGGGTGAGATGGCATCTCAGTGTTGCTTTAATTTTCCTTTATTCAAATGACTAAAAACATTGAACACTTTTTCATGCATTTATTTGCCATTTGTATTTCATCATATGAGAAGTGTGTATTCATCTCAAATGCCTCTTTTTGTATTGGGTCTTTGAATTTTAGGGGCCCTCATTTTTTAAATTCTTTATAGATTCTCAACAGGAGTCCTTTGTCTGAGGGACAGCTGACTAAAATTTTTTCCCAATTTGTGGGTTTTCTTTTCACCCTGTTGGTGATTTCTACAGATGTATAAAAATGTTTCAATAAGATGAGATCCCAGTTGTTGAGTCTTTGAAGTACTTCCCATGAAGTTTGGTTTTTGTTCATGAACTCTCTGCCTGCCCCTATGTCTTCAAGACTTGCACCTACTTTCTCTTCCATTAGATCTAGTGTTTCTGTTTTAATAGTTAAATCTGTAATCCATTTT